TTGCTCTCCTTCAAGTTTTAAAACTTGTTAACGATTTTAAATAACCCTTGTAAACTTGTTAACAATTTTAACAACCCTTGTGCAAGTGTGCACAAATCATGTAGCAAGTGATAAAAAAAAATCAAATTCATAGGGATTGAATAACTAAAAACACTCCAATTTTTACTCAAGAGATAAGAAAAACAAACAAGGGATATTTCAAATTATCACTACTTTGCGATTAAAATAGAAGTGCATTTAAATGAGATTAAAACATAATTAAAAACACTCAATCTTTTAGTACAAGGCATAAGAACAGAGAAAAGAGAAGACTAAAGTACAAGTGTAAAAATGGGGGTGTGTCCCTATTACTGTGATGTTACGATTTCAATGTTATTTTAACCATTGTTAAAACCAACGACTCTTCAACTCAATTTTTTAGCCATGTTAGGTGAGACCTATTCCTAGGTACCCATGCTCTAAAGTTGAATGTAAATCTAACCCAAGTTAAAGCTATTCTCTCTCTATTACAATCTCTAGAAGCTAATAAAGAGTTCAGAGTTCATTCCACATGGTGATCTAGCACATTGAATTTAAAAATTCAAAACAAGCTTTAACTAAGTAGAACCAGCTTTATAGACCAGAAAATCAGAATTCATAAGAAAAGGTCCACAACCCCTTAATGTATTTAGCTACTTAACTCCATAATAAAGAAGAGGGAAGAAGAAAATACAAAACCCATTAACTATAAAATATAAAAGAATGAAGAATGAAGAATGACAGCAATCCCTCACTGTATCTGGGAGGTATGTGCACTGTCCTCATACTCATACATACGCAAGGGGTAGCCCTTCACTGTATCAACTCCTTTTTTGTCTTCTTCAGATTCCTCCTCAACAAAAGTGTAAGAATCTTCTCTCTTTTCTTGTCTTGTTCTCTCTAGGGATTGATTGAGAATCAATAGAGGCAGCCCTGAATGCAAGATTTTATACCCCTTCTCAATTTTAGGGCAACCGAAATGGATAAAAGAGGCCGAACTCAATTTCAAGTGAATTTGTGTTTTAGTGTCATAATTCTCGTGTAAAAGTCTGCTACTCTAGTGCTCCAGCATCATCTTCGCTGTAGGAAAACACTCAAAATCATAAGCTTTTTATTAGATTCAATAACATACCACACAAATTAAACTCTTCTTCTAATGATCGTAAATTAGGTCTAGAACACTTGTAATTAGAACTAATTTATTCATTTTCTTATCTACCCAAGACATTTTCTCCTAAAATAACTCTCTTATGGAGAGTTATCATACCCTCAAACTTAAATAATTGCTTGTCACCAAACAATATTAGACTAACACTAAACAAACAAACTGAACTTTGCAGAATGAGAATTCATCACTTCCATCAATGATCCTTCACTTTAGCTAACTTCCTTCAAGAGGATAAATCAATTCTTGCATTAGATCTGAGGTGGCTTATTTCACATCCCACATGGCATCACTCCCCTTTCTCCCTTAAATGCTAAAAGTACTCCCCAACTCTTTTCTCAAACTGCCTATCTCTTTCCCCATTTGCTAATTTCATTATTGACCTTCTCTAAAAAGTTATGGCTGCTGGCCTTTCCCGACCCTGCAGCATTTTTTTTCTCTTTTTTAGTTGAATTCCAGGACCAAAAACTATATAGCTATATTACAATGACATGTTGTATGTTCAAAGTTACATACCGGTCCCAATTAGAAAAACTAAGTTTTTCGAAAACATGACAAATCTCATTAGATAAAAAAAAAAATTAAGTCAACGATGTATTAATTATATAACTAACCAAATACTAAATATATCATTAATATAACTAATATAATGTATAATAGTCTGAATAAATATATCATTAATATATTTCATATTAGTTACATAGTTTTTTTATTTAAGGAAAATATTATTACATAGTGTTTTTCTCATTTTCGATAAATAGCAAATTTTAAAGGTAAACCGACTTTTTCATTTTTTTTTTTTTGGCCTTTGTTATATTTGTAATTAATCGGATTCCACTCAAAGTTAAGGGTTCCACTCGAGGAGTTCGTCTTCCACTTCCTTTGCTCCACTCTCTTCTCTTTACCACGCCATAGTTTAGCAAAGCTTCCACTTCAATCTGCCTTTTTGATCTTGCCGTGATTGATACTTCAGCAATTTAGAATCTGTTTGGCATGCAATTCGAGTTCTACTCCTTGTTTAAGGCGCTAAAAAAGGGGCCACATCTTAAAATAACTTAAAATAATTTTAGAACTGTCAAGATTGTAATCATTTGATTATATCCCTAAACAAAACTAGGTCAGCTTTCATTGTCAGTACTTATATAAGAGTGCATACACCAGCTCAGACTCAACGAATCAAATGAATTCAATAAATATCTACTCCATAAATTTCTTTCTTTAAAAGTTTGATTGAAGTTTGTACCACCATATTTTGTACCAACACACTATTTGTACTTCTACATATTTGATATCATCACATTTTTTCCACACCAACATTAATACTATTTATTTGCTTAATTCATCAAATTTATGTTTTTTAGTACAATATGTGAGGTGGGAGATTAAACTCAAGACCTTATGTTTTACGCTAGACTTAGTACGCTACCATTGTGTTTGATAACCTGACTTCATTATCGTAGGTTTGGACCCTTTTTTTTTTAATTGACAGAATTGCTTGATAACACAGATAACAAATTGGTAAAGCTAATTTGACAGAATTAAGTGGGACATGTCTCTCGAAGATGGATTCAACACCCTCAAACAAAGAACATCGTTCGCAACAAATGCGAACTTAAGAAAGAAAAAGTAGAGTTTATGAACAAATTCATTCAACACCCAACACACACAACAACTTCAATCGATCAAAATCCAGAAAAAAGAGTGCACAAAAACAACAAAACAAACACCATACCGTCCTCAGTAGTCCTCCTGATCGTCGTCATCACCTTCCGCAGACTCAGCGCCCACTTCCTCATAGTCCTTCTCAAGCGCCGCAAGATCCTCGCGAGCCTCAGAGAACTCCCCCTCCTCCATCCCCTCCCCCACGTACCAATGCACGAACGCCCTCTTCGCATACATCAGATCGAACTTGTGGTCGATCCGAGAGAACACCTCCGCCACGCTCGTCGAGTTGGAGATCATACAGATTGCCCTCTGCACTTTGGCGAGGTCGCCGCCCGGCACCACCGTCGGCGGCTGGTAGTTGATGCCGCACTTGAACCCGGTGGGGCACCAGTCCACGAACTGAATCGTGCGCTTGGTTTTGATGGTGGCCACGGCGGCGTTGACGTCCTTTGGCACAACGTCTCCTCGGTACATCAGACAGCAGGCCATGTACTTCCCATGCCGGGGATCGCACTTCGCCATCATGGAAGATGGCTCGAAAGCGCTGTTGGTGATTTCGGCAACGGAGAGCTGTTCGTGGTATGCCTTCTCCGCAGAGATGACTGGAGCATAGGAGGAAAGCATGAAGTGGATTCTTGGGTATGGAACTAAGTTCGTTTGGAACTCGGTTACATCCACATTCAGAGCCCCGTCGAATCGTAGAGAGGCAGTTAGAGATGAAATCACCTGAACATCAAAAAGTTGATGAAAATAAATTCATGAAAATCAAATCCATTGCTCTCACAGCAGGATTTAAACTGTACCTGAGAGATCAGACGGTTGAGGTTTGTGTATGTGGGTCGCTCAATGTCAAGAGAGCGTCTACAGATGTCATAAATGGCTTCATTGTCAAGAAGTACAGAAACGTCTGTATGTTCAAGGAGAGAGTGGGTTGAGAGAACACTGTTGTAAGGTTCAACAACAGAGGTCGACACTTGTGGGGAGGGATAAACGGTGAAACCGAGCTTTGATTTCTTGCCATAGTCGACAGACAAACGCTCCAAGAGGAGGGAGCCTAAACCAGAGCCAGTACCCCCACCAACAGCATTAAAAACCAGGAATCCTTGAAGCCCGGTGCAGTTATCAGCAAGTTTTCTAATGCGATCCAAGCAGAGATCAACAATCTCCTTGCCAACTGAAACATAAATTTATCGTTTCCATTTAGAAACAATGAACTATAATGGTGTATATTAATTGGAATAGTTCTACAGATGAAACGAGTTAGATGATTACTGGTGTAATGGCCACGAGCAAAGTTGTTGGCAGCGTCCTCCTTGCCGCTAATTAGCTGTTCAGGATGGAACAATTGGCGGTATATTCCAGTCCTCACCTCATCAATGACAGTAGGCTCGAGATCCACGAAAACGGCTCGAGGAACGTGCTTGCCTGCACCTGTTTCACTGAAGAAGGTGTTGAAAGCATCATCGCCTCCGCCAACGGTCTTGTCACTTGGCATTTGGCCATCAGGCTGAAAAGCAAACGAAAAACTGAAGATAATTAACATGAATAACAAATTTAAATTCATTACGATTCTAACGGGAAAGGGAAAGAAAAGAAAGAACACTCGCACGAAACTCCAAACCTAAATATCATCATTTCAACTCACTTCACAAAGATTTAGAAGTTATATTCAGAAATATAAAGTATCGAATGTAGATACTCTGTTTAGAAAAACAAACAAGTGGATAAAAGAACTAGTAATCGAATAATAAAAAATAAAAAATAAAAAAAGCATTCTATCCGATGTCCAAAAGTAAAGATCTATACAAGAATTCAAGAAAGAAACACATAGATCAAAATAACCAGGAATTACAGCACACGATCACAGTAATCCAATGAAAATGAAATTCGTTCGAAATCTGCAATGACGAATAGAATTTCAAACGAAACAACGAGAAACAAACAAGCATGAAGAGAAAAAATACAAAAACATAGCTGATTCAAACAAAAATGAATTCAAAAACCGGAAATGAAACAAGACAAAGAAGAAGATTAAAAAGAGATAGACCTGAATTCCATGCTCAAGGCAATACAGTTCCCAGCATGCATTGCCGACCTGAATTCCAGCCTGACCAATGTGAATCGAGATGCACTCTCTCATCGCTAAAATCAAAGCAATATGAAGCAAAACAAAGTCGACGAAGAAGAAGAAACAGAATTTACGATCAAAATGAAACCGAAGAAGAAGAAGAAGAAGGATTATGAAAATGGAGACGAAGGCGTTTATGAAGACGCCTTCTCTTGAAAATGTTTCTGTGAATGGAAAATGAAGAAGAAGGAGAAGGGTTTTATACAGGAGGGAGAAATTGTATTACCGGAGGTTAACCAGGGTTAGTTAAGAATAATTAATTTAATTGGCTCGCAATTAACCATGGTTAAAGGCTTAACTTTGATTTTGAAATTTAAACCGTTTTTTTGCCGCGCATGGGACCCAACGAGGTGCGAGTGGCCGGCTTGTTTGGTAACTTGGATTTAGCTGTGCTTGTCTTGGACAGGACTCTTTTTTTTTTCCTTGAAGATTGTCTTGAACAACTCTTTGCTTTCAATTTTTTTTTTTTATGATTTTTTTCACAAATTTGGAAAATTAAGTTTGTATGGCCCGAAAATAAAAAAATATATATATAGATCGTGTCGGGACTAACGATTGTTGAAAATATATATCAATAACCGCTAAGCTATACTTGCTTTTGTTTAACCAAGGTTGTAGGAGTCCCAAACTTTGTCTTTTCAATTTCTCCCAAGATGATGAATAGTTGCCAAAAATTTTGTCTTGTGAATGATTCAACCTTGCCTTATATAGCTTCATAAAATTGCAAATTATTTTCAATTCCTCTTAAATTATTTTCCTACTCTTATAAATTAGACTCTCTATACAGACTCAACTCGTAAACTAGGCTAAATGTTTTCTTCAACTCGAAAAAAAATTGCAAATTTCGTCTCTATCTATTCACAGCTCGATAAATAGTAAGCCATTTTTCATACTCGATTTGCTCTCACGTCATTATCCATGAGGTGTTTCATGTAGATATCTTGTCTCTTTCATTTCATCTTTTTCATTTCACCTTATCAGAACAAATTTAATACTTTACTTACAGATAAAATTTATGAGAGGAATATTTTTAGATTATCAAAATATATTAATGGAAATAATTTTTTTTTACACCTTATTTAGGTGACAATATTATGAAAGGCTTCCCTTTCACCTCCATAAGTGATATTGTAAAGAAAGAAAGAAAAAAGAAAAAACTTAATTTTGTTAGTTGGTCCGACTAGAATGAAAATGCCATTATATTCTTGCAATATTTTGATGAACTTACTTTATTAAATAATGAAACATCAATCATCAATTTAAAATATTATTATTGAATTGATAATAAATTAATAAGTTCCGTTAAAAGTAACCAAACTACTTATAAAAAACAAAAACACAAAAACAATTGAAGACTCGCTTGGTAATGTTCGTGTTTCTTGTTTTTGTTTCATTATTTTTAATGAAGAAAAATATATTGCAGGATTCCAACTTCTAAGAATTCAAGTATGATAAAATAATCTTTTTATTTATGTTTTGAAACAAATTGAAAATGGAAACCAGAAACAAAAAATAAACGAGCCTTCAATAACCAAAGTAATATTTTTAAAAATGAAATTACAACCAAAATAGTATACTAAATTTGTCTCCTCATAATATTACAGCATGGGCTACCCCTGCAATTTTTAAGCATTGAAGAAAAAAAAGGACAAAAAAAAAAGAGTGTTGCTTTCTCTGATAGTCAGGAGAAAGCTACAGTGCCAAAATTAAGTATAGAGACTAGCTTTTTGGTTTAAATTCTCCTCCCATATTTGAACTTTTATACTCATTTTATTTTGATCTCCAAATTTTCAAATATTTTACTCCCTTTCTGTAGAAAATTATTATAGTAAAAGTTCCAGCTCATATCCAAAATAAGATTCTTGTCTTCTTCTTCTTCTTTTTGTCTTTTTTTGTTTCTTGTTTTTTTTTGTTTGTTTTTTTTTGGGCATCACTAACCTTGTAAAGTGTAAGGAGTTAACTGCGAAGGGGAATTCAGGATGCAGGCTGTGCACCAGTCCAGGCATGATGCTGCTCGTTGTCGAGTTGATCGAATCGGTGGCTACGGATATCTTGTAGATATAAGATGCCAGTCCACACTCCACGGATAATGAGTATGCTCACAAACACTGCAGTTCCAAGTGTGCATATCACCTAAGATTTCACATAGCAGTTAGAGGCCATAAATGAAGAGTCCCAATAACAAATTTGTAGAGGGGAAGCTTTGGTAATTAGATATGATCTGATTCAGAAAATTGAGAATCTTTTTTTGGATGAAAAGACAGCTCTGTTGAGAAAATTGGAACTAGAAGAGTAGGTCGTACAAAAATAAAGCCCAAGAACAACAAAAAGTAGCTAAACAAACATGAGTACAAAAAATGGCTAAAAAGTAAAGGAAAAAAAAACCTTTCAATTCCTCTTGAAGTCAAATGAATGAGAGAAAAGTAAGGCACCAGCCTGCCAAACCATTTTCTCGCTATCGTGCAATGAAAAGACCTCCATCATAACACGACAATCCGAATTGGGAGTTAACACAAAAGAAGTCTAGAAAGAACACCCCCACCCCTCTTTCGCCTACTGCCCTTTCATATACATCTTCCTTCATCCCATGAACTTTGTCAAGATATTCCGAAGCGTCCTATGGATCTTGATTAGTTCCAGCTTGGTGAGAGTTCTATTTTCTTTCAGACTGTAAGGCCGACTGTCTATAACCACCAGCAGACTCAATCAACAGATCAAGTACTTTTATCACTACTGATAAACAAAGTCATATACCATGCCACCTGGGTTTACTATTAAGTTTCCTACTAACACAATTTTGAGTGTTGATAAAATAAAACCTCTATGAAAGTGAATGCATCTACAGACTACATCAACAATTTCTAGTGTCTACAACCACCAGAAACTCAATAATTAATCTACATCAACAGACCAGCACTTTTCACTACTTCTGACTTCTGAGAATACAGCAAAGAAAGTCAATTACCATCTAGGTTTATTCATTTTTCACATCCTAATACCAAAATTGTCTGTGAGCGTCAGTAAATAAAACCTCAAGGAAATGAAGGCATCTCTAAGAGTACTGTTGGCCTGTTTTTTCCTGCTCAAATCTCTTCAATAGACAGTGACTTTGATATATAAGCATGACTCATCTCATTTGTATCCCGCTGTTGGAGAAATTTAGCACTAACTGTCTACAACCATCAGTAAACTCAATAGTCAATCCACATGAACAGACCGGTACTTTTCACCGTTCACATCGAGACAGCAGACAAGTCCAACTACCATCTAGATTTGTTATTAACCACATCAAGCTTCTCACTAGAACCCTGCAGACGAACCCCATTAATCGGTCTGAATACTTTGTCAAGTCAAGAGAGACTCTCACCAGTTTCAAAAAGTTTGCCAATGACAGTATTGTTTCACAACTTTTCACATGAAATGGTTTTCGAAGTGGATTCCATCTGAATTTTGGAGGGGGCAGGGGGTGGGGTGTGTTAATGAATAAATTTTATCAATAGAATCAAATGAATAAGAACAAATAGTTGATCCTCGACTCCGGCCATGCTAAAGGAGTTACAAAAAGACTCTCTAATCGACAAAAGTAGAATTAATACTACATTTACAAATAATTTGTTCAGGGAACTTCAAGATTGAAGAACAAGAACTAACAATTCCATATATAACAGCAATAGCACATTCTTCTGCACAAAAAGATTCTTCCTATCCTTTTCCAGCCAACTTCCTCAAAGGATGACTGCAGCGGAGAAAAGACATCGAATCCTTCACACCTCTAAGAAACACCATCTCCCAACCGAGAATAGCTTCTTCCAACTATTAGAAGCATAAGACATCTCTTGTTTTGGTTGCTATGCTTCCCATGGATAACCAACTTAACAATCAAAGTGTCGTAATAATTCTCTCACCCCCTTCTCCATAATCAAAATTAAAATATCTGCACAATTACGGTCGAATTTCCAACACACATTTCTCTTTTTCAATGAAAAACCTACAGCTAATTAAATATTGTGGACACATATCCACAAGCCCCTAGTGCGACAATCATTGGGTGGTGTGTGTGGGGGGGGGCAGGAGCCTTTAAACTAGAAATATGGAGATACCAAAGAAACGCATAAAAATCGATTAAATATTGATGCATTTACCTGAAGAAATGCCTTCAAGACCCACAAAAACGCGAGCATTAGCACCCCATTGACAGAAAATCCCACCTTAAGAAGCAATTACTAATAAGTAATTCACCTACTATGATTCAGAAGAGGAAAAAAGAAAAAGAGACAAAGATTAAGCATATTTACAAGTTAAATAAATCATTACCAGTTTGGTGGGGATGGATTGGGGAAGAACCGATCTCACAGCCTTCCGGGCTCGCTTCGAGACCTTCCTGAAAACATTTTCAACAAATCGAACCAATAGATCCAAACTTCTATCCTCTTCCTCATCCTCCTCGTCCTCCTCGTCCTCCTCGTCGTCCTCTCCACCGACTATGTCGAAGTCAGAGCTAATCGGGCGGTTCCAATTGCGCCGATCATCCACCAAATTATCGACTCCCTGTAAGATAATCGAGGAAAATGAGAAAAAAACACATGCACACAGAACAGACCAATTGACGAGAAGAGAAACGTGACCTGAGAGAAATTGGAGGGTCTTCTGGAAGCCCGGAGGAGCGTGTGAGAGATTTGGAAGGGATGGGAGAGAAGCGAGGTTCGAGAGCTTGAAAATAGCGGTTGAAAATGGTATTGAGGTATGGAGAAGAGGGACGGCGGTGAAAGAGCGGCGGGAAAGGACATAGTCAGCGGTTAAGAAGAAAGAGCATTAGCCTTTTCAGGTGATTTTGTTTCGGTTCAGCAAAAATGGTGGCCAGCAGTTGTCGATGATTTTTGCCATTTTTTTTTTCCAAAACGAAAGTAGATGAACATGTTAACAATTTTAATTATTTTAGTATGTGTACTTTTTCTAAGTGATTTTTTTAATCTTTTATTTTCTCACCTAAAACGTTTCAATAATCACAATACGGTCTTCGAAAACACTCCCGACAAGATGTTGCACGAAAGGGGTTAGCACTCCGAACATGTTGTCAGTGCAGGTGTTATAATAAGATCTAGTGCAGGTGTTATAATAAGATCTAGTGTTTTTTTAGTACAAATTTTACCTACCTTCCATAAGCTATCTTATTGGTACTTATAGTGTATGTGGGATAGTCGATGGAGCGGGTGGTCCTTTGGTCAAACCCTCGACTCTTTCCTGACTTGTAGGCAATTAGCATGCACTCGTGAGGGGAAATACGGACATACCGTTAAGAAGGCGAATTGTGGCAGAAGAGTTCGTCACTTTTTGAACTGGTCATTTCGTGCAGGACCTCATCTTGAAGTGTTCTTGGATATTTTATCTTGATCATCGGAATATTTTTCGGTAAGAACATTTTATATTTTATTTTTATTTCATTTTTTTCCATTATAATTTTAGCACTATACTCCCACCTGACCAAAGTTAAGACATCTATGTTCCATTAAGAAACAGTGAGTTTGAATCATCATACTCCACATGTTGTACTTGAAAAAAAAAAGATAATGGATTGGATTCTCAACCCTGGTATGTTGTTGAAGTTAAAAAATAAATTTAACTTCACTGACTAAATTTCTTGAAATATAGTCATAAATTTGTATCATATGACTTCCATTGTATGTAAAATTTGTATTCAAGTTTTGTAAATAAAACTAAATCGATCTCTTCTTCTTAAAAGTATAGTAAACCAAAACATTGAAAGTATAATGACTAAAATAAAATAAAAAAAAGTATAGAAACTAATACAAACGTATTGATAATACATGAGCTAAAATGAATTAAAAGTAAAGTACAAAGTGCCAAAATATTTTTTTTAAAATGAGGTTAAAGGGCTCACAATTTTCAAAACATGTCACCTACTTTTAAAATTTTCAAATATATTAAATATTTTCACTTATATCAGCAGTATATCAGACACTGTAATATATTATATGTATATCGTATGTATATTGTACAGACACTCGTATCAATAGTATATCACACATTGTAAGTATATCAAATACTTATATAATAGTATATAAAATGTATAACATTTTGATAAACTTGTCATTTTAAAATTCAACCTCTATTAAAAACGGGTATTTTACTAATTTTAGCAAATCAGCGACTACCAAAAGATTAATCGAATAGTTTTAAGAACTAATTAAACCTTAGAAATGATTAAAAAAGGTCAAATTTACCCCGGCAACTTTGATTAATTTTCACGTCCCCACGTCATCATCTCTACTGGTCAGTTCCTACAATCTCCAAGGAGTCTCCATATTCTCACTGTGGCGAAGCAGAGCTGAGAATTTCCCTGCTCGCTCAATTTTAGAAGCTTGAGAGCTGCACAGTAGCAGTAATCCTCATGATCCATTGCTGTTCTTCTTCTCAAATGCGAACTATTGGAGCAATACGACCTCAATTGTCGAAGTTATTGCACCGCTCCTCTTTCAGAAGCTTCAGAGTTAGAGCTCTCTCGTCGTCTCCTTCTTCTGCCTCGTCCAATCAAGCCCGTGGCGGCCTTCCTCGCTTCTTCTCCCAAGTTCTCCCTTCGTATAAGGCAATCTCTCTCTCTCTCTCTCTCTCTCTCTCTCTCTCTCTCTAGCATTAGTCCTTAAAGTTCTCAATTCTCAAGTGTTTATGTGATCGAAATGGCGTGTGTAGTTGAATCACCCAATGATTGGTATCGCGCGGTATAGCTTTTACTGTGATCAATACGCGCACGAGTTGGGATTCTTTTATTTTCTTTGTTTTCTTTTTCTAGGTTAAGTGAAGTATTGGTGAATTTGAATTTTGGAAGAACAAACAGGGGTGCCGTTTGATTCATGGAATGTCAAATATGGAATATAGTCTCGTGCGACCTTGGCATGGGAATAGTCGTGGGCTTTGATTTGAGATGAAGCTTGTTCTAATTTCTATGCACTTTTGTCCTGAGCAAGTTATTTGCTTCAGATGTTTCTTTGTGGGGAGTTGTATTTATGAGATGGATAATGGAATTTAGTAGGTTGAATTTGGATGGGATGGATGGTTACTTCTTATGACATCCCTATAGTTGGTCTCTTCAAGTAAGTCTGTTAGGAACATTCCATAGACTGATGATATTCTAGTAAAGTCGAGTTCATTCCCTAATTTGATGTCGTAGTGAGTGTAGTGCGTGATATGATCTTTTGGTAAAGTTGGACTGTTTTGATTGATATGATTTGATTTGATATTTCAATAAAGTGAGATTGCAATACTTGGTTTGGTTGGGGAACTGCTCTCCTCTTATTAGATGCTTCATCAATATGCAGGGTGATGTTGTTCGTCTAGAAGGCGATGAAGTCTGGCATATGACTAAAGTTTTAAGGTTGAAGACTGATGATAGGTACTACTTTTAATAGTCGACGTCGTCCATCGGTATTAGCTTGCTTGCTATTATCTGCATTTGGGTCACTGGCTTGATCATTTCTTTTTTTTTTTCTTTTCCTTTTCTTTTTCCATGATAATTGGCTGTAAATGAAAGGGTGGAGCTGTTCAATGGAAATGGAGGTCTAGTAGAAGGAAGCATAAAGGGCATTCATGTCAATGGACTTGACATTCTGGCAATGGAAGATCCAAAATCCGTTCTACCTCAAAGCACTCAGTGGCATGTATTTGCAGCTTGTGGTGAGATTGTTAGGAGTGGGAATTGTTAAAGTGTTTATTGTATCTTGTGGTTTGGAAATTTGTCGTCATATATTAACATTTCTCTGTTTAGGTACTCTAAAGGGTGGCCGTGCCGACTGGCTTGTTGAGAAATGTACAGTAAGTAAACATAGACTGTTGTTACTAATGAGAATTTAGAGCATAAATTCTTTTTGGCTTCCAATGTTTACTTGCTGTCTTTTTACTTTATCCAGGAACTTGGGGCCAGCAGTGTAACTCCTCTGATAACAGAACGTTGCCCTACAATATCCGATAACCGAGTAAACAGATTTGAACGTATCACGTTAGCAGCAACTAAACAATGTCAGTCAGTATTCAAGTTAATATTCTTCACTTTGGGAGTAGGAAACTGAGACAGTTCAAACTTGGGCATCTTCGTGTTGCCTAATTGCCTTTTTGGTTAAAAATTGCCTGTCCTTTGTTGCAGGTCAAAGACTGCACAAAATGAATCTGAATTCTCCATTGAAAATTCCTGGTCTCTTGCACCTTGTGAGTTGCAACACAAATTTGTTCCAGTACTTACTTGACCTTTGAGCTTGGCTAACATAAAGAAAGGTTTTCCCTTGTGCAAATAAAAAATCACAGAAGCGTGATGATTTAAGAATCAATCATACTTTCACATCATTAATTAGTACCGATATTAGTGAGGAGGTTATATTCTTGACGATTTTCTGAAAACCAATTCTTTTTTGCAAAGTTTTTTTTTTATAAATCAAGTAATTTTTCCTTTTAACTTGATTTCATATAACTGCTCTCGGTTTTATTCTGTTCCCTGTAGATTAACGAGTCAAAGCTATGTTTTGTAGCAGTTGCAGAAGCAACTCCACTTGTTAGTGCATTAGCTTCAACAGAAATAGAATCTGGTGGGCTTTTGGTTGTTGGACCTGAAGGAGGTATCAAAAATCATTTTAGTAAAATGATAGTCCTGCTTATATCTGGGGTTACAAAACTAGTACTTGAATGCCCTTTTCTAATATCATGAAATCCTTAGCCCCTACTTAGTTTAATGCCTTTCATTTTCTGTTATTTTCTTTTATTTTTCTATGTTTCGTCTTCAGATTTCACTGAGAAAGAGATCTGCATGATGAAAGAAGCTGGAGCAATTGCTGTCGGTCTTGGTCCAAATCGTCTTCGTGTTGAAACTGCAACAGTGGCAATCTTGTCAACCCTGATGTTATGGTCTGACTCAAAAAGTTCTGATTGTTAATCTCTCTTTCAGGTTAGCCCTCATTCGTTTGTGTATGGATGAATCAGATCTTCCTACACCATTATTTTGTTTTGCTTCAAGGATGAACCAGAAGTTAAAACTTGAAAATTTGTTAAAAGAATGAAATGCAGATGGAATGGGTGCTCAGTTAAGTAGATTTTGAATTTAGGTTTGGTTTTTGACTTTCATACCTATTATGTAGTGGTCCTTAAAACTTTAAAATGTTATCTTTAGTCCCTATGGAGGTGATTATCTTGAAATATTTGCACCTGTTGCCAAGATGAACATAGTACGAATACTTCTATCCTTGCTGTCAATCGTGGATGGGACATGTTACAATATGACGTTTAAATGATTTTCTGCATGGCGATCTAGAAGAGGAAATTTATATGGAGATTCCACCGGGGTATGAGCAAGCAGGAAATAAAGTTTGAAAATTGAGAAAAGCGTTGTATGGATTAAAACAATCTCCCAGGACATGGTTTGGTAGATTTTCTCAGGTTATGAGAAAGATGGGCTATAAACAAAGTCAAGGAGATCATACGTTGTTTATAAAACATTATGCTACAGGGGGAGTAACAGCATTGATTGTTTATGTGGACGACATTATCGTCACTGGCAATGATAATAATAATGAGCAAGATAAACTAAGAAATTGTTTAATCCAAGAGTTTGAAGTTAAAGAATTAGGAAGACTGAAATATTTACTTGGGATAGAAGTAGCCTATTCTAAACAAGGCATATTCTTATCACAATAGAAATATGTGATTGACTTACTTTCTCAAATAGGAAAGCTTGGTAGTAGACCAACGAGAACACCAATTGATCAAAACCATGAACTGTGTGCAGCTAAAGAGAGTCCCCCAGTAAATAAGGAAACTTATCAGAGGTTAGTTGGAAAATTAATATATCTTTCTCATACAAGACCAGATATTGCGTAGGAGTGGTGAGCAATTTATGCATAGTCCAAAAGAAGTCCACCTTCAAGCAGTATACCGAATACTTCACTTTTTGAAGAACTCTATTGGAAGAGGATTACTATTTAAGAAAAGCGAGAAACTCGATCTAGAAGTTTATACAGATGCAGATTATGCAGGATCGATAAATGATAGGAAATCAACTTCTAGCTACTGTACTTTCTTAGGTGGAAACTTAGTTACATGGAGAAACAAAAAGCAGAATGTAATTGCAAGATCAAGTTCACAAGCAGAATTTAGAGCCATGACATTAGGTATCTGTGAATTACTCTGGATAAAGATTATTTTAGAAGATTTGAAGATTCCATGTGAAGGGCCTATGAAACTTTATTGTGATAACAAATTTTCCATCAGTATTGCACATAATCTGGTTCAACATGATAGAACCAAACCTGTTGAAGTTGGTAGACACTTCATAAAAGAGAAGTTAGATAGCGGCCTCATATGTACTTCATTTGTACCAACAAACAATCAAATAACAGATATTTTTACAAAAGGATTGAACAACAACAACTTTGAGCATTTGGTTAACAAGCTGGGAATGGAAAATATTCATTCACCAGCTCGAGGGGAGTGTTAAATTATACTTTATTTTATTTTAAAGGTTTCCTATTTTATTTAGGTTAGAGTTTTCTTGTTAAGTGCTTCCTTATCCTAATAGACAAGAATTTACTTTTAATTTTGTCTGTGTGACTGCTATTTATATAACCTTGTATAAATCATTTGTAGTAATCAAGTGAGAATTACTTTTCCCTTATCAAATTGACAATCTTAATGATGTGAGGCTGTAAGATTGAACTCTTGCCAGATAGTTGCTAATTTATGCAATTGAAATTTGTAATTGACTTGTTTTTATATGATATTTCTCAATTAGTTGATCTCATTAGTGAAATCTTGTATTTCAATTTTTAGAATGGTAGTGGGGATTTTGGGCTGAATAGCCTTTTAACGAGATAATATTGTTTTTTAATCACTTTTTAAAAAATGTATGTTTTCTAATCGTTTGTTTGTTGATGTGAGTCCATTGCCAAATGACCATCAATGCCCCCTTCTCATCCTTCTTAATATTCTCTCTCTTCTTTACTCACCATAAAATAAAACACACTTTCTCTCTCGTCTTTACTTTAAAAACCCTAAAAATCTCTCAAATCTATCTTCTCTATCTTCGACTGCCACTCCCTTGCCACACATTTTCCGTCTCTTCTTAATTCACCCATAAACCATACAATCTATCATATCTATCTTCCATCTTCCATCTTCATCAGCCATTTCCTCCATTTTTTTTCTTTCTTTTTTTTATGTTCAGATCTCTCAAATCTCTCAGTTTCCTTCTCGCTCTTGCTCTAGGTACGCTCTCGTTATTACTTTCGCTCTCTTTCTTGTTCTTACTCTCGCTCTCGATGCATTCTCGTTTTCGCTCTCGGTCCATTCTCGCTCTTGCTCTCAGTGCACTCTCGCTAATTTGAAGACAAGCACAGAGAAGATAGAAGTTGTAAGAGTAGATCTGAAGAAGAGCGCCGAGAAAGTTGCGGTCTCGTTTTTTATCTCGCTCTCGCTCTCGATCTCGTTCTC